GTGGCGCTCCTGCCCACAGGTGAGAACAGTATTCCATGTGTGGCCTCACTTGAGCTTTATATAGTTTCAGGCGGTTTTCTGGCGTGAAATACCGTCTCACCCTATTGAGCACCCCCAACTTTTTGGAAGCTATCTTAGCTTTTTCCTCCAGATGACCGCAAAACTGGACGTCGCTAGATATATCGACGCCAAGAATCCCCAGACTCGACTTATTATCGAGGGAAGTGCCCCGAAAGTAAGGAGATACGACAAACGGTGTCTTTTTTGCGGTGAACGCGCAGACTTGTGTCTTCTTAGGGTTAAAGTGAACAAGATTGCGTTCACCCCAGATCGAAACTTTGTCGAGCGAAGTTTCGATTTCAGACACAAGTCTGTTCCGGAGCTCATCGGTATGTGCCCGCGAGATCTTTGCATGGCCGGTGTATAATGCATCTCCTGTACTGTCGTCTGCATAACAATGAATATCACTGATCTGTAACATATCATTGATATGCAGAAGAAACAGTGTCGGAGATAGTACACGGCCTTGCGGGACACCAGCATTCACAGGTTTTAAGTCAGAGCATGCTCCGTCGACTACGACCTTAATGCTACGTTCCTTAAGAAAACTGGCGACCCAACTGCACAATCTCGCAGGCAACCCAAACGAAGGTAGTTTTGAGATTAGTGCCCTATGCCACACCCGATCAAAGGCTTTCGCAATATCCAGACTAACAGCTAAGGCCTCTCCCTTATTCTCGATTGCCACCGCCCATCGGTGTGTTAAATAAACTAAAAGATCACCAGCCGAGCGCCCCCGTCGAAAGCCGTACTGGCGATCTGAGATCAGCTGGCGATCCTCTAGGTACCGGAGCAGTTGATGGTTAACAACTGATTCCATGACTTTCGAGAATAAGGAGGTGATAGCTATGGGTCTATAGTTAGCTGGATCTGAGCGGTCTCCTTTTTTAGGGATCGGATGCACCAAAGCAGTCTTCCAAAACTTTGGGACTATACCTGATGAGTAACAGAGCCGAAAAAGACGCGTAAGAACCGGAGCCAACTCTGGTGCGCACGTCCTAAGCACAATTGGAGGAATGCCATCGGGCCCACTCGACTTATGGATTTCAAGGGAGAGAAGTGCTCTACGCACTGATCTTTGCGTGAATTTAACATCCGGCATAGAGCTCTTACAACGCGGGATGGTCGGCGGTGGTTTCTCCCCGTCATCCAACGTCGAGTTCGATGCAAAGAGAGATCCAAGGAGATCAGCCTTCTCTTTGGCGTTCAGAGCCAATGAGTTATCCTCCCTGCGCAATGGTGGAAAAGATGACTGACAGAAATTCCCTTGTGCAGCTTTGGCAAGAGACCAGAAAGCTCGAGACCCCGAAGGTAAACTAGCCAATCTCTTGCCAATTCTACCAATATGCTCTGACTTCGCTGTGGCCAAAACTCTTTTGAAGGACCTAGAGGCAAAGTTATACTTCTTTTAAGGGCACTGATGTTAGGATCTCGCGACGCCACACCTTTGGCCCAGGCTAGGAAGCACTCCTGTTTCAGGCGAGATGCTATTCTACAAGAGGCTCCATACCAGGGCTGGGATTTCCCACCGACAGGTACCACAGAGTTAGGAATAAATAATTCCATTCCCTGAAGCACCACATCGGCGATGGAATTGGCGATGGCGTCGGGGTCCCTCAGTGCGAAGCAAACCTGCCTCCATGGGTAAGATGCGAAAAAAATCCGCATCTCATCCCAGTCTGCCGACCTGTAGTGCCAAACACGACGTCTACCCGTGGAACGTGGTGGAATCGGACTCATGAGAGGCACCTCGCTCCGCACCAGACAGTGATCCGACGATCCAAGCGGAGCTTCGACGGAAATCACATAGTTGTCTGGGTGGGTGGTCAGCAGAAGGTCCAACAGTGAAGGTGAATGGTCCAACACATCAGGTATTCGCGTAGGCGAGGAAACAAGCTGCGTCAGACCATAAGCCAAAGCAAAGTCATGAACAGATCTTCCCGCATAGTCGGTTGTACGTGAACCAAGCCATTCGGTATGGTGGGCATTAAAATCGCCAAGAATCACGACTTCAGCGGAAGGAATCTGTTCGAGCAGGGAATCTGTAGTCATTTGGACGTGCTCAATGAGTTGGTCGGATTCGATGTTACCGCTGTGGGACCTGTATAGGCATGCATAGACGCGAGGATGGTCATTGCAGTCTACGCGCAGCCATAAAATAGACAGGTCCGCACCTTCAAGAATTCCAAGGCGGCGACAGCAGATATCCTCTCTGACATACGCGCATACACCGGCACGCGAAACAAAACAATGTTCAAGTTTATATCCCGGGTACGTCAGGTATGAAGTTTCGTTTGGAGAGGATATCTGTGTCTCCGTTAGAAAGAGCAATGCCGGCCGCGCCGTTTCTAGGTGGTGGTGAACAGCGTTTAAGTTAGAATGTAATCCCCTGATATTGCAGAAGCTCACATTGAGCGAAGGGGATGCCGTAGAAATCTTGCTTCGTTTGCCCTTGGTTCCAAAGAGCGGAATTTTGCCCCCCCCCCAGAATACGCAGGGCAGCCCGAGCGTGGTTGCTCGAGAGAGGATTCTCCAGCAACATGGTTACTGGTACCTCCCTGGGGTATGTTATTTTTTTTTAATTCCACTGCCATGGTTGCGTGTTGTAAGATAGGGGAACGGGGTTGGGGAAAGGATTTTAGGAATAGGAAAGGGATGGGTATGGGATGGGTATGGGATGGGCCTCCGGACTCCCTCACTCACCATACGGAATGTGATCGCACTAAAAGTGCAACCACTTAGCGTCGGTATTCTGTGAGGGTGTGGTACTTCCCCGGTCGAGCCGGCCCATTCATGCTGCAATACCATATAGGATTACAGCGTGGCTCTACCACAATAAAAGTTCCTTAAGTTAGACCTTCAGGAATACAGCTGTTAAAACTACATCCAATTTGGTGTGGTAGATTTTGCTTGATGTCGAAACAAACATACAGATAGACAAAAAGCTAGTAAATTGTTGAAGAAAGAATCACTCCTTTAATTTTACTAACATTTTGAATTTAAAATTAAATGATTCGTACAAATAGCATCATATTATATCATCATATAAGCCGTTAATTTTCCACTGGCGAACAGTGGTCTCCCCCTATTTAGGCGTTTTGACAGTACTTGCCACTCTTAGCAAATGATTTGCCAGCCGCAGTTATGGTTTTAATTATATTTTAAGATGGACGCTACTGCTCATCTCTCTACCATTAAAATCTCTTAGTTGCTTCTTATGACATCCATGAGAAAGGAAGAAGTGGCACATTTTGTACCTTAATAGCATTTAACCAAATACAAATCGATACAAAAATGTTACATAAAAGGAAATTAAAAGGAGAAAACTTGCAATCCTCTTCCAATTGAAAAGTCCTTTAAAAACTTGTTCTTTAAATTAACCTCGCGAATGAATGCGTATACTTTACTCAAAGCGGCCACTGAAGTAATTAGTGTTGATTGCTTATAAACATGTTTTTTTATCAAGTGTACAACTCTCGTCAACATCAACACAGTCTCAGTCATCAATCATTGCTTTCACGTTAACTTTACTCACCCTTCCGTTGAAATTGAGCCAGTATACACTGTTCTTGGAACGGAAATTAGAAGTAAAGTGTTTGGCATACGGCCCATGTTTGCTTGGCGGTGGTTTTAATATTTATCGATTCATAATTTTATTATGAAGTTCGCAAAGTGATTGCGTTACGCATATTCTAGTATGGTGCCTACATAAAACGTGCAAGCTCTGTTCAAGAATGTAAAAGGAAACAAAAACTTGTACCGAATTAAATAATACATATAGAACATAGTGGAAGTGTTTGTATGAACATGCTAATTTATTTATTTATTTATAGCTAAGCAACACATTAAAAATTAATACATTAGTAAAATAAATATTACATGTCAATGTCACCAAATGGAGACTGTACAAAAGTCGTTTGCTTGGGCACCAAAGCAGTTGTGTTTGCATGGCTGTGTTTCGGTTTAAAGTGTGGGATATGGCAGTGAATTTACAGGGTACAGAGGAATAATACCTGAGTCCTCAGGAATGGTAACGCATGGGATGTATCATGAGTGCAACAGTATACTCTATTATGTCCATAGTACTGCTCATGTCTATAGGCAACGGTTACCACTTTCTATCAGGTGGGCCATCAGCTTGTTTGCCATACAAAGTTGTATAAAAAAAATTACATAAAACACCATTAAATTTGTACTCCAATAACTGCTCTGAATAACATTCGTTATTATAAACATTAAAAGAATAGCTACAATAGATTTAAAGTAACAAATATATTATTATTGCAAAGATTGTTGGAAAATATCAAGGTCCTTGCATAAATTGTCTGCACATCTAATATCTACAAGTCGAATTTGAAAAATTATATTTGCTAATATTAACAATTTTCTTGAAAGAATTTATAGACAATTCAACATCGCGATCGACCGGACAAAGCCGCAAAATACAGCTAGTTAAACTATAAAAACCAGAACAAGCGTAAGTAGAACTCGCGTTCTGAGAATTCCACAAGTTCGCAGTAACAATAAAAATACAATTTTAAGTTATAATGGCAGAATTTCTGGATTTTAGAACAATCAGTGTAGTAGGTATGCGTCAGTTAACATAAAAATATGTATAAGTGATAAATAGTTATGAGTGATTCCTTTATAACTTCTTTATTTTGTCTTATAATTTCTGCATCTTTTTATGGCGTAAACACTCATATTATTTATGAAATAATACGTTAAGGTATATTTCATGCGTAAACGTATAAAACAGTGATAAAAAAACAAAACTAATTGACCTGTTTTTGAGGCTCGATGCTCTATCTGTATAATCTTAGGGTGTACCTAAGATACTGATGGCTGCTTTTTATACATACCAAACTCTATTCAAAGATTAAAATTTTCTTTCTTAAAAAAAGTCATATTTTGTACTGTCATTATGACAGTTACAATCACGCAATGCCATATTCATTTTAATAGTATTAATACAGTGTTTACTCATTTATTAGTTCAACCAATGACGTTTACAGATCTGTTTTAACATAATCATAATGTTGTCAAAAATATTGTTACATAAGAGAATAAAACAATTAACTAGCAAGATATGTATAAGACAGCACTCTGCAAAGGAAAACGACAAAAAACCGGCTCTGCCAAAACCAGCTAAGAAGCCTATCGACCCTCGACGAGTGTTCAAAATCTATCGTTTTCCTGGCATATTATGTAAAGAAGAGCCGAAATTGCAGAGCTATGAACTTGACGTTAGTAAATGCGGTCCCATGCTTTTAGACGCTTTAATAAAGCTAAAAGATATGGACCCCACACTCACATTCCGGAGGTCCTGTCGAGAAGGCATTTGTGGGTCCTGCGCAATGAATTTACAGGGTCACAACTGTCTAGCTTGCATAACCCAAATTCCTGCACAAAAAACGATAACTATTTATCCTTTACCCCACATGTATGTTATTAGAGATTTGGTGGTTGATATGACACATTTCTTTGAAGGTTACAAGAGTATACGACCTTACCTGATTAGGAAAAACGAGAGACCTCTTGGTCAAGTTCAGTATGCACAAAGTCTTGACGATAGCTTGAAACTGGTTGGGCTTTATGAGTGTGTGCTATGCTCCTGCTGTTCCACAGCTTGTCCAAGTTACTGGTGGAACGGAAGGAGATTCTTGGGACCAGCTACTCTTCTGCAAGCTTATAGGTGGATCATAGATTCTAGAGACGAAGATACGGAACAAAGGCTGAAAGATTTGCGAGATGATTTTAAAGCTTTCCGATGTCATACTATAATGAACTGTACGCTGGCTTGTCCTAAGGGTCTCCATCCTGGTATGTTTATTGCTAAGCTAAAAAGACTCATATCTGGAATCGATAAAAAACCACCTCCAGAAATGGATACGTTGAAGTACGCGTCTGGAGCGGGACTCGACGGCTGTGCTAAGAAATGTTGATCGTTGACGTGTTTCCGTTTTATGTTATTTTTAAATTATGTTTGGAAATTGAAATATATTATATCTTATTTACGTTTTGTAATTTTCAAATATATAATTGTATATGCTAGAACATCGTTGTGGTATATTACTTACCCGACTTAGACGAGAGAGAAGGAAAGGAATGGGGATTAGTAGCCCCATTACTAGCAATATACCCTGTCATAGTGGTCAATTCTAGATGTATTTATCACGATAAGCTAACTGACCTGCCTTTTCATCCTCACCCACCATCTCTCACATGTGGGGTTGCCATTTCATCTTCACCTATTAAAAAACACTGCGACTTATAAATCCCAAAGGTCATGAATTCGAGTCTGACAGACACTAAAGCTGTGTCAATTTAAATTCCGGACTTTCCGTCTAGTGATGATGATATATATAATAATCACCATGTGGTCCCTACATAGAACGTATCACCCATTCATTTCCAGTGGGCATCGAAAGAAGCGACTAAGAGAACTTAAAGGTCGAGGGATGGGCAGCAGCGTCCCTTTCGAAACATCACCGAAGCCTAACTGCGGTTGCCGACCCTCCTGCCAAACGTGGAAACTATTTGCAAGACCCCCCAATTTTTGGGGAACGCCTATATTCAGTAGTGGATAGATAACAGCTGATATGATGATGATAATGATGATAAATAACTGTAACAAACCAAATTAATCCAAATATTGATAGAGTTACGGCAATAGGTGCATCTCTACTGTCGATAAGTACCTCTGACTACTCCATTATGATTTACAATCGTAACCTTATTTTTATAAGAACTCGGAGATTTTTTTATTTATTTATTCTTTAGTGATCACATTACAAAAATCGATGAATGGAAATTTACAGGGTACAGAGGAATACCACCTGAGCCCTGATTATGTATTATGTGCATGCTACTGCTCATGTCTATAAGCGACGGTAACCACTTTCCATCAGATGAGCCGTCAGCTTGTGTGACATTCTAAGTTGCATAAAAACAATTCTCTCCCAGTCAACCTTTGGCAAAACAGAAATATTATTTAAATTTAGAAGATCTATTTATTATATACACTCATAGACTGCCAGAGATATATGGCATCTTAGATATATTAATTGCTACTTGTATATAAGTGACACCTTATATTTCTATTCAGAACCCTTTTCGTCGCTACTCCTTACATTCCAGTCACGTTTCTAATGGTGAACTGAAAAAAAACTTAGGAATAAGTCTGCCATTGAATCAATTTTATGGCCCTAGCAGATGAGAGACATTCTGATTCTGTCCGCAAATAAAATGTCCCTTTAACCTTTATGTCTGCTTTGCTTTTAGTCCGATGAGAGGCAATCCTCGGCAAAAATAGACATATAGATGCGGTCTGTTATTACCTTTAAAAGATTGCACTAGTAAACTGAACTTGTATTTTTATACTAATATTATCTTTTTGTCTCGGATTCATACGCACGGATTTCAGAAGTAAAAAACTATAAACAAAAAGCAAAGAAATAAACAATAAAGTAAATAACTTTTAGATCGTTAAATAAGATAAATCATATATCAATTTTTAAGTTAACCCCTCAGAGACACAATTGTGAAAATCGCATCCAGTTTGGTGTAGAAAGAAGTTTGTGCATAATATACGAACAAACATACAAATATAAAGTAAAAATTGTCACATGCTTTCACAATTAACAAATTATCACGTAACATAAAAAACACATTCGAATCTGGAGCCTCCTATTTTGAAAGACGGTAAATAAAATAAAATAAACTATCCCAATGTTTCAATCAATTGCTCCGGTGATTGACTAGTCCTACATTTGTACCTACGTGGCATCAAAGGAACACGTTAGACTTATATAAATTCTTTTTAAAGGGTCGAACCGAAATACCTAACATACGCAGCCATCCCTGAAAATTGCAATCAATCATGTTTACTGATGGATTGATTCGACGTGACAGTACAAACTGCTAAACTAATACTGGTACATTTTTATTACATACATTTTAAACCTTATGTTACATGGATAGAGTATATTTTCTTTTATACGAAAATAAAACGGAGAATTTTTCAAGATGCTCTGCCGTATATCGTAACCTAATCATAGTAACACGGATTATTGTCAACCCTCAAAATGTTATGAAAAACTAGCTTTTACCCGCAACTTTATCTGCGTAACCGGACTATGTTTACTAGCCGGGATAAAAAGTAGCCTATGTCCTTCTTTATCCCATATAGTACGTATATTTATTTTCTCCAACTTAAAATGGCAAATTCGGTCACCTGATGGAAAGTAATAACCGTCGCCTATAGACATAAGAAATAGCATTGACATAACAGAGTATACTGTTTCGCTCATAATACCCCCCATGCGTTGCCATTCCTGAGGACTCAGGTGTGCCATATGCCACCCTTCGAACCGAAACACAGCCATGGAAACACAACTGCTTCACGGTGTATACTAAATTTCATAGTGATACGCTCTAAGAGGCTACATACAAAAGAACTTACCTTAATATTTAAGAATTGTGTACTTACTACTTTTTACCCACGACTTTGTCTACATAAGGGAACTATTAATTGATCAGGATAATAGTAGCCAATCTTTATTATTTTGTTAGTAATTTTTTTATATATATATATTTTTGTATTATAAAATTTGAATTACATAACCAGTAATATAGGAGAAAGAGATTGTTAGTAATGGGATCTATTAACCACGTATCAAGTAATATACTCTCTCAAGTCAACCACCACTCCTTCTGGAAACCACTGTGGTCAATTCCTAGTGAATTTTTCATGGTGGACCAACCAACCGCAGATAATACCGCAGGCAAAATAACCATTTCATCAACACCCATTATGATAAAAAGCAGTGATACAGATTTCCGCAAAATAACACCTAATTCAGTAACATATTTATTCATTCATTCATTCTATTATTATTAATTATAATATATACATATATATATATATATATATATATATATATATATATATATATATATATATATATATATATATATATATATATATATACCCTCAAGAGGGAAGCCTATTTTCTGCAATGGACAGTTAAAGGCTGATATAATAATAATAATAAATTATGATCAGTATAGATTAAGAGAATATCTATGAATGAAAAGGTACTGTTTGCTTAGCTATCCTGTTATCCTTTACCCTACATCACATACATAACAATTGCCACTGATTGCTAACACGTTCCACAAATACAGATATCATCTTGCAATGATTAAATTTGGAATTAGGGTCAGTGGATAAATATTACCATAATAATATATGATTTGTGAACATTCTTATGTGATTGGGGATTACATTAATAAACATTAGATGGGTTATGTACACAATATTTCAAATGGAGACGTAGTTGGTAAATATTTGAGAACCTATGTACAGCACAGATAATCAAATTGAATTTTTAAACTTTTATTTTCTTGTAATATAACGTGATATATGATTTAATAACATTAGCATTCATTTATCAACATTTTAAATTAAATATTAATAAAAAGCAATATAAATAAATTTAAAGATTTTATAAAGAGATTAAAAGAGAAAAATGTTATATTTAGTTACATGTATTATTTTTATATTATAAGATTTTCACTTAGTAGAAATAGTCTTCACTATGAACCGTTAACATTCTTATTAGTACTATTTTTATTAGAGACTTTTGTATTTTTTGCGGCCATTAGATTTGATTTATCAAATACTTGATGGATATTTTGAGATCCGAATAATGTAAATGCGAAAATTTTTATATTTACAATTATTTTTCTTATTTTAAGGAAACCAACAACTATTACATTTAATAATATTAAATTAAAAAGTAATCAATTTCAAATTTTAATTTAATAAAATATTGAAATTTTAAGTCGGTAATGTGATGTAATAAATGCAACTAGTAATAAATTAAAATGTTTAAATTTACATTTATTATTTCTTGATTTACTAATATTAATATTTTATCCTTGTTGGAATTTTTTTTATACAACTTAGAATGGCAAACAGGCTGACGGCCATCCTGGTGGTAACCGTCGCCTATAGACATGAGCAGTACTATATGGAATACTATAATACCATTACATGATACCCAAGATTGATGAATGTGGAGGAAGCGAAAGAGACGTGTTTTAATCGAAACATTTGGCGTTCCATTGTTTCTGCCTACCCTAATGGGAGACAAGCGTGACAGATATTTATGTATGTATATGATACCCAACAACAACCAGATGTAAATTATAATTGTGTTAGATAACTCGTGTCCATTACCTACTATCTTACCTGTAATGCCATAATTATGGCCCCAGGGAATGCAGCGTAATATCTCATGCATATTCAATTAAGTGACCATCATTAATATCTATTTTGTCTGTACGTACCATCCATTTCAGACACTAAATAAGTTTGCTTAATAATGGGTAGAAAATCTTATATTATATATTAACAAAAATGGAATAAATATAGGAAGATAGAAATTGATTGATAGCACATGAAAAGAGAGACTTTGTACAAAATTCGTTTACATAGGCATCTCTGTTCCTTTCGTGTTTCTACCGTGAAGCAGTTGTGTTTGCATGGCTGTGTTTCGGTTTGAAGGGTGGGATATGTCAGTGAATTTACAGGGTACAGAGGAATAACACCTGAGTCCTCAGGAATGGCAACACATAGGGGGCATTTCATTCATGGGCGAAACAATATACTCTGTTATATCCATGGTGCTGCTCATGTCTATAGGCGACGATTACCACTTTCCATCTGGTAGGCCGTCAGCTTGTTTGCCATTCTAAATTGTATAAAAGAAGAAGCTGTGTTATTTTTTTATTTCTTTTTTATATTTCCCATTGAAAATCTAAGCTAAAATATGTAATAATGAAAATATAATGATACTTTATTATTATGTATTCTAAGAATATTATAATATAATATGACATGTAATTAATTCGTTTATCATAAATTTTATAAATAGGTATTAAAATAAAATAAAAAATGTTATATTCCATTAGGATGGTAGAT